AGGACATCATTCATAAGGAAATAAAGGATTTTTTGCAGTAATGAGTGCCAAGAGCAATTTAAATTTTGGTGCACAATAAAAGGATAGATACAATGTTCATAAATCAACAACCACACACCACACATATATATATTTATATATATATATATATATAGAGAGAGAGAGAGAGATGACTATATTGATTCCTTTTGCTTCTTGGATCCAGGTCCAAAGGGGCTTTTTGTTTTTATTAAACAGATTACAGTAATTAAGCCTGAAACCTTTCATTTGTCAAGAAGAGGAGAAAAGACAACATGGATTATACATGTCCCATACTGTCCAGAAAGCTTCGAAAGTAATATCTGGGAGGCCACCACAAGAAGGTAACTGAATCTTCAGCTCAACTGAATCCTGGATATGTTTGCTGAGACTGACAACAAGAGCACCAATAATTACATGCATTGTGGATGTGAGCATAGGAACTTCTTTCACACAGGAGTCTGACTACACTTAGATAGTAATTACTTTTCATCACTAACACTCTGGGCTAAGGACAAAAAAAAAGATTCAGAACAAGAAACCAAGACATTTTTAAAAATGGATTAAACTTCATCTGTTTCAGTTCAGTACATGCAGAGGGCAGGGCAACATCTGAGAGATCTGAATAGGAAGTTTGTCACACTGGGTATGTCTAGATTACATGCCTCTGCTGACAGAGGCATGTAAAATAGGCTACCTAACATAGTCAATGAAGCTGGGATTTAAATATCCCTGGCTTCATTAAAATAAAAATGGCCTCCACGCTGTGCCAGCTCAGCTGATCATCGGCACAGCGCGCGAGTCAAGAAGCGGATCAGTCGACAAAGGAAGCCTTTGTCGACAGCTCCCTTATGCCTGAAACGAGGTTTACAGGAGCGGTCAACAAAGGCTTCCCTTGTTGACTGATTTGCGTCTTGACTGCCGCGCTGTGCTGACGATCAGCTGAGCCAGCACAGCGCGGTGACCATTTTTATTTTAATGAAGCCGGGGATATTTAAATCCTGGCTTCATCGACTATGTCGGGTAGCCTATTTTACATGCCTCTGTCAGCAGAGGCATGTAATCTAGATATACCCACTGTAATGCAGGAATACTCCAATCATTTCAGATAGTTATCAGCTTTGTAGTTTTAAATTGCCATTTTCAGGAACTGTTTTCAACACAAGCCATGGAAAAAGAATTGTTGAGCTTTCCTATGATACTGCTTAGTTAGGCTGTTCTATTTCTTTACCATGACACAACTGAGAATGCATTTAGCAGTATATCCACCCAACATCACACGTAATAAACTAAAAGACATAGAAAAAAATTTGAAGTCCAACTGCACCTCAGGAAAATGGAAAAAAGTCTATAAGCAATAGAAAATTCAGACCATTCTGAGCAGCTCCTCCCAAAAATGATGTATAAAATGGAGCATCTGGCTTTTTTAAACGATGAATTTACTAATTGCCTTCTTTCTTCCTAACCTCCACTTGATATTTCAAATCCTTTAAGGAAATGCTACCGAATACAACACTTAATCCGGAAAGTTTAGTAGAGAAACTGATATATCCCTTATATGTTATTAAAACAATAATCTTAGAACTTTATTAAAAATTACACAACATTTTTATTCTCAAAATTTTATCCTCAAAATTTATCCAAATGGCTTTTATAGACATCTCTTATTAAAACATTTAAGATGACATTGTTTGCAATATGTTAGCAATTCAGACAGATATGGGCAGTGAAGATCGATGTACAGTAGAATCATAGAATACTAGAACTGGAAAGGACCATGAGAGATCATCAAGTCCATTCCCCTGCCCTAATGGCAGGACCAAGCATGGTCTATATCATCCCTGATAGATGTCTGTCTAACCTGCTCTTAATTATCTCCAGTGATGGAGATTCCACAACCTCCCTAGGCAATTTATTCCAGTGTTTAACCACCTGACACTTGAGAAGTTTTTCTTAATGTCCAAACTAAACCTCCCTTGCTAGAGTTTAGGCCCATTGTTTCTTGCCCTATCATTAGAGGCCAGGAGAACAATTTTCCACACCCTTTTAGATACTTGAAAACTGCTATCATATCCCCTCTCCATCTTCGTTTTTCCAAATTCAACTATCCCAATCCCTTCAGCCTTGCCTAATAGCTGATCTTTTCTAGACCTTTAAGCATTTTTGTTGTTCTTCTCTGGATCTTCTCCAATTTCTTCACATCTTTCTTGAAATGTGGTGCCCAGAACTGGACACAATACTCCAACTGAGGCATAATCAGCTCAGAGAAGAGCAGAAGAATGACTTATTGTGTCGTGCTCACAGCACTCCTCTTAATGCATCCAAGAATCACGTTTGCCTTTTTTTGCAACAGTGTCACACTGTTGACACATATTTAGCTTGGATCCACTATGACGCCCAGATCCCTTTCTGCAGTACTCCTTCTAGACAGTCACTTCCCATTCCGTATGGGTGTGTCTAGACTACATGCCTCCTTCGACGGAGGCATGTAGATTAGCCAGATCGGAAAAGGGAAATGAAGCCGCGATTAAAATAATCGCGGCTTCATTTAAATTTAAATGGCTGGGGCCCGCCCC